GGCTATTCCCTGCCCTTGGCCGCGGAATCCACTCCTCACCTGTGCGACTGTCCTGCGATAGACCGTGACACTTAACCCGGCCTCTCCCTCCTAATAGACCGGCCCACCCCATCACACCCCCCCCTCCCGGTTATCTGTGTGTGTCGTCGATATGCACCTTCTAAAAGGCACAGGTGCCTCCCCGTACAAATAGCTGTAAATACATAATCATGATATCATCTTCCGCCTGGGGGGGCGTTCGCAAGCCGATGGGGGTAGAGTTTCTGTAAGAGCCCTCGAGCCAGACAGGCTCCTTCATTTGATTCCCGGGCCCCTCTCTCATCATCCAGCCCTGCTCGACGGCGCCTTACCCGGGACGTGGTGATGATTAGGATCGAAGCCCCTCGGGATGGGCATCGTGGCTGCTGGGAGACTTGATCCGCGCCGGGCGGGGGGGGGATAATTCACAGCTGCACGGCATATCGGGGGGGGGGGGGGATGGACGGTCACCCTCGCTCTTTATCGCCGCCATCGACGTTTGCCATGCTTAAATGCCAGGAAGCCGGGGGGGGGGGGGGGGGCTGTTCCCTCGACTGCCAGATTTAATAAGATGGAAGCGGCTTGTTGTGTTGTACATCATGATTCAGTTATCTGGAATGTTCGTTACGACTCCTAGGTCCTCTCAACAGCTGCCAGTACAGCCAAACAGGGATCTTTAAATATGCATATTGTCATTTTTTTATGTTAATAATTTAATGCCGGTTCTGTGTTTTCATGGCCGCTATGAATACATAATGCAAATGTTATAAAAATAGCAATCGTGTGGGGGGATGCAACTTTAGTGCGCTCTGTTCTACGTGGGATTCGGGGTCAAGTGCTCAGTTCAGTTCATCTAATGAAAGAAATATATATTATTTGTGTTCACGTGGTTACCAGCTTTTCTATAAGTCTCTCGCAATTTTCTGTGTTATTGTGGTCTGTGATTTAGGAGTCTTTCCCCTATCGCAGTGGGCCGGGACGCGAACCGATGGAGTTCGAGAAGTTACGGTATTCCAAGAAATAGAAAGAAAACTTCGGGGGGGGGGGAAGAAAAGTTATGGCTTCTTATTTCGTTACGAAATCATGAACAGAATGCAGAGGATGCTGAGAAGCAGAAAGGCTGTCAGGGTTTTTTTTTTCCCTTTCTCTCCTTCCCTCCATGCGAGGCTCTTGCAGCGCGTCGCGGCACCAGCTGCCGGCGGGAGACAGGAAACGGGACTCGCCGCGGCCCCCGTTTGCGCCGCCCCGCTCGCGGCCCGCTGACAGAATGGTGTCAGCCGAAAGCGCAGCGCTGAGGAGACACAGCGCCCCTGCTGGCGGTGCCCAGGCACGGCGGCCTGACAACCGCGGCATGCTGGGAACGTGTCTGCGTAATACGACGTTCATACTTATAACCAGCATGCTTTCAAAGCAGTGGGATTTTTTACTCATAGTATATGAGTCAAAGCTCTTAGCCCACACTTGTTCCCAGGGCTGTCTGACCCTGGTTCCTCAGTTGTATGTTGCTTTGGATAAAAGTGTCTAAACGTAAACCTACGCCCATAATACCGATGGCATTTACATAGAGAGTCAAGGTATCCTGGTTTTTTAGTCGTCAACACAACCCGTGCAGGTGAATGGCTTTGGTTTACTTTTATTTGTAGGGGAACGACAGGCGAAAGGGCCGCATGACTCTTTTATATCGGGTCATTGTCGCTTGCCGGTAACACCCTTCATCAAGATTAACCATCCAACGATCTCATTTCATGCAGAACGCAGCGCTTGGCAGCTGGGAGGCCGGCTGATTTGCAAGGGCACAGAGTCACAAGGAACGTCTCTCTGTAAATTTTTGGAATTTATGATACGCGGTCCGAGCAAACTGTGGAGAGGAAGGGACTGTAACCGTGCCGCGCGGCGTGTTCCGCAGAGTGTGACCTGCTCCTTTCTCAGAGGCTTTACTACCTGTATTACTTACAGCCGGGACGCGGGCCCCCGAGTTTGCCGTAAATTTCGCATTTATGTTTGGATATCCTTCGGAATGTTGATGTCTTCATTCGTCTGCTCCTTTCCGGAAACGGGCTGCGCGGCGAGCGTGGCGGTGCCTCCGGGGCATCAGCTCCGAACTTTAAAAGTTCACGACTTTTTCGGATGTCAGCAGAAATGAGATCAGGAAGCAGCGTTTCCCGTAAAATGAGGTCGTAAGAGTTGAGGCCTATTTTTTTTTTGTTGTAGTGTTTGAGAAGTTTGTAGAGAATGAACTAAAAGTCTTATCAAAGGTAATTAACATTTCATTCTTTTAACAGATGCTTTTATCTAACGCCACATACAGTTGGGAAAGCAGGGTCAGAGAGAGTCGCTGGAGCAATTTGAGGTTAAGGGCCATCGCTCGGGGGCCCGGGGGTGACATCACTGTGACGACCATGGGATTTGAACCACCGACCTTCCGATCACAGACAGCATTCTATCCCACCGATCCACATACTGTTGAAAGGCTCGTTATATATCTCTGACTAACCATGATCTGGAAGTGGTGGAGCATCTTAAAAATATATGATCAGCTGGGACCTCCAGACTTCGAGCACTTTTTAAATCTGCAAGCAACTGCGATATCCAGTTCTTGGAGTGATTTATAAATCTGCATGGGTTCCAGATAGGCTTCTGGCGTAATCCAAAGAGTTTCACACTGCAGCTGAATCTCCAAAGACCCCGTTGCACTGGCCATGGCTTGTCGCTATTAGCACATGACTCATACTGTAGGAGTCACACATTTTTCTCCCAGCAAAAAAAGTGAGCAGCTTTTGCAGAAATGCAAAGCTTTTCAGTCACTGGTGGTTTTGTTTTGTATGTGAGAAGTTGCTTTGAGTTTGTGGAACACTGTTGGCCATTAAAGATGAAGTAGCTCTCTAAAGTACTCTGATGAAAACTGATTAACCTCATCTAATGGTTTCCTTATCGAATCAATCCATCTATCTATCTATCTATCTATCTATCTATCTATCTATCTATCTATCTATCTAATGGGGAACGGGGTATCTATCTATCTATCTAATGGGGAATGGGTTTATCTATCTATCTATCTATCTATGTAATGGGGAACGGGTTATCTATCTATCTATCTATCTCATGGGGAATAGGTTTATCTATCTATCTGTCTGTCTGTCTGTCTGTCTAATGGGGAACAGGGTATCTATCCATCTATCTATCTAATGGGGAATGGGTTTATCTGTCTATCTATCTATCTATCTATCTATCTATCTATCTATCTATCTATCTATCTATCTATCTATCCATCTATCCATCTATCTATCTATTTCATATCTAAACTTCATTGGTCTGTCACTAGTGCCTTTGAGAGATCCCTGGCCCATATAATTACACCGGAAATGGCTTCCGAGTCCGGGTGAAGATTGCTATTCCTAAGTTATGTGCACATTAATTGCCATAGACAGGGTCCATTAGCATACCTTCCTGGCTGGCTGGAGCTCTGTTTCTCCAAGTCTAATTAAACTAATTAAACAAGTGCACTAATTAGTAGGCTTGGAGCATCTTGTAAGCAGGAATCTCTCTTTGTTGGCCTGTATAATAATAATTATACTTAGAAAAAAACTTTGATCTTTCAGATGAACAGATTATTTGCATGTTATAAGGTAAATAAGTTGGGGAAACTGGTGAATATTTTGTAGATATATTTAGAAATTATATACAACAATTTAAGACGATTCATCTCAGTGACACTCCGTGAAATATATCCAGTTATATGGAGTCTTTACTAAACAGCGGGACTCGATGTTAGGTGCAGCTTGAGGGTTTCGGTCGATGAGAGACTCAGTCCCTTTTAATTAGTCACTGATCTACAGTTGTAACACCAGGCTGTCAGTTACTGTCCATGGAACCAAGTGATTACAATGCAGAATGACAGGAGCAGCTAGTGGCTTGATTCGGGAGATGATGTGTCCCTGGAAAGAGGCAAACAAAGTCTAGAAGGACTATTTTCACTGGAAATTGGACAGCAGTGCAGATGGTAACAACCCTATTCTCTAAAATGTTAATGCACTTTTAAAATAGGAACGTCATTCCAGTGAGGCAATATTTGTTTTTTTTCTTTTTTTTTTGTAGTACCATTTTGACTTGTACCACAATATTCCTCCTAAAAAAAACCATTGATGAGTAAACAAACAAAGAAACAAATGTCTTCAGCTGTCTGGCTTGTCTCGGCGCCCGGTAAAAATGTGAGTCGCCCGGCAGGTGGAATATTAATAAACACATTAAACACATAGCAGTTCACTGGTAACTCGCGCGGCCTTCGATATGTCTCATCGATCCGCTGTGAACCGGAGGCGAAAGGCACCGATCCGATCGCACACGGATCCTCCAAGCGTTGGCTAATCTCTTTTCCGTGATTATTATCGGAGACCTGTTAGCTGAGGGACGGAGGTGCCCAGTCAGCGGCGGGTTTATCGTAATTTCCTAACAGAAATGGATCAATGGGAACTCTGCAGAAGCAAAACTATTTGTGTTAAGTCTCGGTTAATATAGAGGCCAGGCTCACCGTCACATTGTAACTTTTTGGCGATTTGTTGGTCTCCCTGGTTTCTTGATATAAATTTCCCCCCATCTTTTGCATGCTGTAAATACTTTGCACTATGACTGAGTACTTAACATTTCAATCCCGCCCCCCCCCATGTTAGCATGGTCTTTGCATGTTCTCCACATGGTTTGTTGGTTTCTTACAGGTTCTCCAGTTTCTGAAGACAAATTGGAGTCTTTTGGTTTCCGATGGTTTTTCTTGTATGTGCCTTGCAATGGAGTAGATGGATGGATGAATGGATGAGTGGATGGATGGATGATTTATATTGGTAATCAGATCTTTGTTGAGTGCCAGTTTTGTTGTCATTCAAAGTTCCTGTTGTTGTTGTTCTTGCGATATTTCATACGTTAACTATCGCAGTGCCAGAGCTGAAACAGCCCCGGTTTCTGAGTGCTGATTCTTCCGTCTCTTACAGGGGAATCCCGAGGAGCCTCATTCTCTCCTTCCTCCAGTCTGAAGCGGCCTTGCTGTCAGCTTTCTTATCCCGGTAAGACAGCCTGCCTGTTCCTTAATTGATCGCTGATTGAGAGCTAATGCTGATGTATGCGCCAGTCAGGTCCAAATAAATAGACGACAAAAACGGTTAGGGTGGTGTAGGGGAGACCGTGCCCGTCGCTGTCCGAAGGGGACGCCGGAATCGAGGGGCCGGTCTCATACAGGCACCTACCTTGGTGTGCAGAGTGCAGGATCTGCCCGCAGGGCAGCCGTGACCTTCTTCAGTGATTTTTATACCTTGCCACAGGGAAGCAGACTCTTAATCCGTGCCCCCGTAATGGTAGCTTATTTCCTGTTCGATCTTCCTTCTCCTCTACAGCTCAGTGACTTTACCGTTTTAATGTGTTTAGGTGTATGCATTACTTAACCCTCGTTATCACCCGCTCGTTATGAGATCCGTTCACTATGCATTCTACCTGAATTCCCTTACAGAGGATTCTGAATTGGCGCAATAAAGTCCCTTTTTTTTCTTATTTCTTTTGGGGAGACCCTGAAAATAGAGCCAAGGTATCGTCCCTGAGGTTCCACGGATCCCGGATTCGCAGCCATTACTGCTGGTTTCCTGTTCCCACTCGTTTCTATGTGTCATTGTGTTAAGAACTCAGCCCACTTTGCCCAGGAAGATATTTCTCACTGTTACGTGTATGTGTCTGTGGGTAAGGAGACTTAAATCTCACCATATAAATGTTTGACGGTTTATATCATAAAGGAGAAGTACAGAACTCGCACAGTAGAACAGTTCCCCCCACATACCTTGGCAAAATTGAAGCAGCTGTAATTGGTGCACCTAGTTGCCACGGCGATGCCCCTCTCTACTGGCAGTGGTAATTTTCTTGAGTGCAAAGGGTACTCCTTGTCGGTAAGATTTTCAGTGAGCTCATCAAATGTGTCTGAAAGTTTTTGAAGAGTCTTATTTCTGGTCCAATTTGAGGGGGGCTTTTGTCACACCTGAGAGCTTTGCCTCGCGGTTCAGTAAGCAGCGAGCGGGGAGGCGGGGGCGTGGGGGGGGGGAGCGTCAGAGAGGGAGGGGCTTAAAGCGTGGCTATGTGGTAGGCCGTGGGCTGTAATGTTTGTGTCATTCCAGCGTTTTAAAGGGCAGATACACACAGGGGCCGGTTTGCTGTGTCTGGGGCCCCAATTAAAAAGTCACTTTGGGGGCCCCCTACCTTCCCTCAGGCGTTCTGAAAACAAAATAAATGACTAGTGAGCAGAGTCAGAATATCGCAGCTAGAATATGCTGCTTCAGCATCTCCTAATAAAAGACCATATTAAGTTAATATTTAGTGTCGTGACTGTTTGTGACCAACAGGGGGCTCCCTAAGTCTCAGGGAGCTTTTAGTGTGTGGCTTTTAGTGATGGTAAACATTGGCCCTGGGTTTGCCGCATGCTGTGCCATCCTCACACACTTTCCCATATCACACACCTGATTTTCTTTCAGACTCCTCGTCTTTAAGACAGCGTGAAACACCAATTATAAAAAAAAAATAACCTCAGAAAATGAAAGGCACCAGGACTGTTTAATATTATTGTTCTGTGCGAAGCTATTGTTCCCTCCAACAGACCTGTAAGTGGCACCCATCAGGTGCTTTGCCCCAGTGCTCACAATCAGCCGTTTTTATATAGGAAGGAACAGAGCCAGGTTAATTTCTGCAGCCTGCAGCTGAGATGTTTTCATAACGTCCCGCTGGTGGTGTTCGCTCTTTAATTACAATATCCACAGCGACGGCGTCTCGGAGCCAGCTTGTTAACGGGTGAGTCACTCTTAGCTGGTGACCGAGGGGAAGAGTTTCCGTCCCCAGCGCCCCCTGAGGAGCAGAGGAGTGTGAGCCCGCAGGGTGTGCATGCGCGGGGTGGCCCTGCTGGATCTTTAGCTCAGTTTCTCTGAACCCAGTCCTCAGGGACCCCCAGACAGTCCACGTTTTTGCTCCCTCCCAGCTCCCAACACACTTGTAGAAGGTGCTCAGTGTTCTCGATTGGCTGGGAGTTTGGTGGGAGCAAAAACATGGACTTCTGGGGGTCCCTGCGAGCTGGGTTGGGAATCACTGCAGTGTTGGAATAAAAGGGAAAACATACACATAAATTAACAGATAAGCATACAAGCATACTGTGACAGGGCCATTTCTTAGAACATATTTCCTGACTATAGCTTCTGCAGACTTTTAAGTTTCCCTCATTTTTTATGTATAAAAGTGAAGGACTGAATGAATGAATGAATGTAATGTAAAGCAAGTTACTTAATAAACATCCATCCATCCATTTTGAGAAACTGCTTGTCCTATTCAGAGTCATTGGGGGGTCCAGAGTCTAAGGGCACAAGGGAGGAAAAACCCAGGATGGGGCACCAGCCCATCACAGGGCACACTCACACACCAGTCACTCACACACCAGTCACTCAAACTCCATTCACTCACACACCAGTCACTCACGCACCAGTCACTCACACACCAATCACTCACACACCAATCACTCACGCACCATTCACTCACACACCAGTCACTCAAACTCCATTCACTCACACACCAATCACTCACGCACCATTCACTCACGCACCAGTCACTCACACACCAATCACTCACACACCATTCACTCAAACTCCATTCACTCACACACCAATCACTCACGCACCATTCACTCACGCACCAGTCACTCACACACCAATCACTCACACACCAATCACTCACGCACCATTCACTCACACACCAGTCACTCAAACTCCATTCACTCACATACCATTCACTCACGCTCATTCACTCACGCACCATTCACTCACATACCAGTCACTCACACACTTTTCACTAACACACCATTCACTCACACACCAATCACTCACACACCAATCACTCACACACCATTCACTCACACACCAGTCACTCACACACCAGTCACTCACGCACCATTCACTCACATACCAGTCACTCACACACTATTCACTCACACACCATTCACTCACACACCAGTCACTCTCACCACATTCACTGACACACCAGTCACTCACACACCAATCACTCACATCACCAGTGACTCACACACCAATCACTCACACACCCTTCACTCACACACATTCACTCACACACCATTCACTCACACACCAATCACTCACACACCAGTCACTCACACACCATTCACTCACACGCCAATCACTCACACCTCATTCACTCACACACCAGTCACTCACACATGCACACCTGCGGGTAATTTGGTAACTCAGCATGTTTTTGGTTGTTGGACAATTATTAAACATATTTATTGGATATTTGGAATGTTGGAAATATGTAATACTTGCTCCAGATAATGGCATAGCAGGGACCGTATTGTATAATAAAAGCTTTAAGGGAGACCTGTGACATGTGTGATGTGGACATGTGACATGTGTGATGTGGACCTGTAACATGTGTGATGTGGGTCTATATGGCAGTAGCATCCCTAGTTATGATTCAGCACCAGCTGATCCTGATGCCTTTGTGCAGTATGCTTGTATGCTTTGTTTGGGAGGTTTAGAGAGCGGCCTGTCACCCAGTGAGACCTGGAGCAGTACTTCTCCCCGGCTAGTCTCGCTCCATTAATATTTGCAATGTGCGCAGCAGTTCAGTCACCCGAGCAATCGTACTACACAGCAGGGTGGCAGAGACTGACGTAGAGAAACGATGGAGGAAACAATGAAAACTGGACCTTTACTGTTTACGTGACACATCTAAGCCTGAACTCTGTTTCATTTTACTGCTGTGTGCTATAAAAAAAAATAGAAATAAAATTTATGTGGCACTATAACCTTCCTTCTGTGAAGTGGTGATCAGTGATTTCTGTAAATAATTTGTCTAGAATATGCATTAAGGAAAACTGCTCGCATAACCCTAATTCCAAATATGACAACCTTAACCTCTTACCCAGCCCTAATCTTAACCATAAGTAACCAAACAAGATAAATGACGTTAAGCATTTTTAGCTTTTTGATTGCAGTCATGGATTTTTATGAAAGTGAGTTTCCCCTTAAGCTGACTAAAAAAATGGTCCCCATAATGTCAAAATAACAGGCTTTTATCACTTTATGAGAACATTTGGTTGACATAATGTAACATACAGTATGCATAACACACACACACACACACACACACACACACACACACCGGCAGCAGCATTTAACTCATAGAAAAACCTTTTTATCTTGATTAGGGAACAGCTGGATGAGGTTTAGGGGTGTTTGCTGTCCTTTGGATGGGGCGGGTCTTTGAGGGAGGTCATCGTCCCTCTATAGCAGCCCAACCCGAAGTAAAAGGCATAAAGGCTGTTAGCGTGCAGCGCGTAAAGCAGACCCCGCCCCCACACCTGCTATCAGTTGCCATAGCCACCTGGCCCGTCAGCCGCGCGCTAACGTTCAAGTCGGCCGCAGTGATCAGTCCCGTCTGCCGCTCGAGAATGTGAACAGTTGGCGTGGCTGCGGATCACACCAGTGTCAACAACTGCAACCTGCCAGACTGAGAGAGTGTTAGGCGCCTGATTTGCCAGGGAGCTGAGAGGAGATTTCATTCCAGGGGTGATGTCACCATCCTAGCAGCCTGACAGAGACTCATAATCCATGAATCTGATCTTTAATATATGCCCATGTTCATGTGTTTGGATTCTCTTCTGTCTGCGATTACATTTTTCTATCATTGTCCATCATGATATACGCCCAGAATCCAAAGCGATGCCGAAATGATTTCTAAACAACTGTTACTCGTATGTTTGACTTGAGTTCTGCACCCAGATCAGTTCTTCTGATAGTGCCCATCATGACCTCTGAATCCAGACTAATTCCCATGTTGACCCATATGTCTGGCTGGAGTTCTGCTCCCAGATCAGTCCTTCTGATAACACGTGTTCGCCGGCCACTTCTTGCAGGTGGGAGCCCGAGCCGGCCGACCTGGACCTGTGTGATGTGTTCATGTGACAACATGCTGGCACCTGCCTGAGCCACAGTGTGCAGCCTCATCTCTGGGTAAGTTCCCCAACATCCAGATTTTGACCGTAACCGCTGATCATGCTCGACTTCAGCTCAGCGCTCGTTCAGAGCTACAATCCCATCAGTCTAAATTAAAGGCAATTGGGAGCGACTGCAGACCAGCTCGACAAAGAATGCTGCCCTCAGACAGGGGCTGATGGGAAGGTGCCGTCAGCCTTGCGGCCAATAATGAATCGATAAGTAGGGCAGGGCGCGCCTCACAGTCCGCACGGTCAAAGCTCGGACCCTCAAAGCCAGGCTGATTGAACCACAACCTCGGTGGTGTCATACAGACAAGCCAACCGGGAGAAGTGAAGTGAACTTTCTGTTTAGGTCAAGTCCATAACCGGCGCTGAAACAGGTCGCGGCTGCGGCTTTTGTTGTTTTAATGAATATACTACTGAGTGGGGAAACCTCTGCTAGCTGGGTCAGACCTTTCATACAACCACTGCGCTCCATCCCTGACTGATCACGGAGGTCCGGTGTGGGTGGGTGAAACTGCCTTCTAGTTATAGTGCCGATGGTTTGGTGGTTTCCAGGAAGACCCTCACTAAGGATGCTGGTGCTGTGGACCATGCGTAAGCAAACAGTCAATCGTAATGAATTGACGAGACAACAAGAACGACAATAGTGGTAGTATTAGTAATAATAAGAAGAGTAACGATAAAAATATTAATGACCGTAAGGGGCAGTATGGTGGTGCAGCGGTTAGCACTGTCACCTCTCACCTTTGGGAGTAGGGTTCGAATCTTCCCCATGGCTCTGTGTGTGTGTGGCGTTTTCATGTTCTCCCTGTGTCATCCTGGGGTTTCCTCCAGTTTCCCTCCCTAAATCCAAAACTGTGTTGAGGTTAATTACAGTTATCAAATTTCCCGTAGGTGTGTGTGGAGTGTGGAGTGCGCCCCACATTGGGATATTCCTTGTGCCCATATCTTCTGGGATAGGCTTTGTCCCCCCGTGACCCTGAATTGGAGAAGCAGGTATTGAGATGATAATAGAGATGATAACAATAATATGTAGATATAGTGGTATTTTTTTGGATTGCTGATCTCCCAGGATGGCATGGTGGTGTAGTGGTTGGCACTGGCAAGTCATATCTCTGGGATCTGGGTTCAGTCTCCGCCAGGATTCCGTGTGTGTGGATTTTGCCCATTCTCCCCATGGGGTTTCCTCCTGTTACCCCAGTTCCCCCCACCCCGCCCCCCAGTCCAAAAAAATGCCGAGGCTAACAGGAGTTGCCCTCATTGCCCACTCATTGCGTGTGAGTGAATGGTGTGTGAGTGTGCTCTGTGATTGGTTGGCGCCCCATCCTGGGTTGTTCCTTGCCTTGTGCTTGTAGCCTCCAGGATAGGCTCTGGACCCCCCCCACAACCTTGAATAGCATAAGTGGTTTCAGAAAATGGATAGATGCTGATCTGCCGTGGAGAACACAGATCATGATGCCCCTAGGATGGGTGATTGGTCTCTTGTACTCCTCCTTTGGTCCAGTGCCTTTGCATAAAGTGAATATTTCACAGCTGTTTCCCCTGCTAATTGGTCTCACATTCATTTGTAGAACATGATAAAAATGAAGAAGTAACAGTTTTCTAATTGTTTAAATACTGTCACTGATAGCTGTGACCTGTGATGGACTGGCATCCCGTCGAAGGTGGACAAAGTGCTGGGTCTGTGTTTTTTATGATGGACTCCAGGCCGACCGTGACCTTGGTCTGGATGCTCGTTTGCGGGAAAATTGGTGGAATGGATGGTATGTGACAGCCAGTTGTGTTGGTAATTTATTCATTATGGCTGGTCTCCACGGAAACTGCAGGTGTTGTGGTAGTTAAAGACCTTGGCCGGAAACACAGATCTTGCCCGTCCAGCTTTCAGGGGACACTTAGTTGTAGAGCTCTTGAGCAAAGTGACCGATCTGAATATGTAACGTTGCCTTGGAAGGCGGGATTGAGTGGTGGGATGATCACATCCCAGAGGAAGTTCACACAGCCCACTCACTCCAGTGAAAGCCTCCAGCTGTGAAGCGTGAATGGTAGCTTGGATGAAAGTGTCGACCTACAGTAGAGACCAAACGTAGTAACAGGAATCACTCTGCAAACAGACAAGTGAAGCACTACTGAGGAGGGCTTTGTGGTGCTGTAGAGTAGACATGGCTGCCATTAGCCCCACTGGGAGATTCCTTATTGTTTATATGTGTGTCACAAAATTAGCAAGCAAAATATACAGTACCAGTCAACTTTTTGGAGACAGCAAGCCCCTTAGAAAGGAGAGTGATAGAGTCACATCACCTGGCCTCCTGACCTAAACACAGTGGAAGTGGATTTGGAGGAGTTTGACCAGAGAGTGAAGGAAAAGCAGCCGATAAACGATCAGCATATCGTTCAGGACCTCCTTCAGGACAGCTGGAAAAGCATGAGGCCACCTCATGGAACTGGCATAGAGGAGAAAGTCACTGCAGCCACTGGAGTTTAAAGGCCTTGCCCAAAGGCCCATTGGTGGGATCACTTTGCTGACCTGGGGATTTGAACTTGCAACCTTCTGAGTCCCAACCCATGGATTTTTTTGTTTAATACTTTGTTGGTCAGTGTATATTCCATATGTGTTATTTTATAGTTTTGATGTGGTTATAATTATTCTAAAATGTAGAGAATAGTAGAAATATACCTTTCTATGAGTAGGTGCGTCCAAACATTTGATTTATCTAAATGCAGTGTGTGGCTCAGCCGGTTGGGACGCTGTGCTTGTGATCAGAAGGTTGCCAGTTCAAATCCCAGGTTAGTGGAATGGCTTCGCAGTTGAGCCCTTGAACAAGACCCTTAACCCCCTGTTACTCCCTGGACCGTCTGTCCCCTGCTTTCTAAATCCCCTTTCTGTCAATAACTGCCACCTTTAACTTTTCTATGCATTACCCAAAGGGGCTGTATATGTGAACAAAACAGTCGTAGCGGACATTTAATGGACTTTACTCTGCTAGCTCCCTAGTATAAAGTCCGGATCATTTCCGACTGACCCCCATGTGACATTGGAGCAAGATCTTTTCTGGAGAATCCTCTGTGGGCGAGTGGGTATGATTATCACGAGTCTACCATGCAACTGCCGTGAAAGCAGAAGAAAAAAAAGGCAAAAAATTCTGTCAGTACGGGCTGAAGCTGAAATGTCCGATAGATTGAAGGAACGGCAAGGCACAACCAGATTACAAACTGACTACATCACTACGGTGTATTCCAAACTACAGCACAGACGATGAGTAAACACCATCGATGTGCTGTAAACAAAACACTGTGATTTCCGGAGCGTACTTTTTGCATCACGCCCTGCCTCCTGCAGGCTCTGCCCAAGCGCCACCCCTCATCTAAACCCACTGCAGTATTTCTAGTATGTGTGAACGCTTCTGACACAGAAAATCTCTGGTTGTGTGCCCCATGCATGATTATCCAGACCTGATTATCTGGGCAATATCTGGAGTTTATGTGTGAAAACAGCTTAAGTTGTATGTTGCTTTGGTAGTTACTTGTTTCTTTGGTAGAGGATCTTCATTATTGCCCAGTAATCCCCAGCTTCCTCATGGTTCCTAACTTTTAGAAGGAAGATGGTAACAGGTTTAAGTCGTCAAGTCAACTTTATTTATATAGCATTTCAACAAAGTGCTTTACATAGATCATAAAATCACAGCATGGTATCAAACCAGTTGAGCATAAAGAGTCACAGTCACTGAGTACTCAACTGGTTGGTTGAAACAAAATCCCAGTCTGGACTTTTACTCTCTGGACCTGAATTGACTGACTGACCCCAATGTACAGAGAATTGCATTTATCTTAATGAGATAAAATAAAAACATGAACGAGTTCCTGTCCAGAAAAGAAAGTTATGTAAAGAAGAGAAAGTAATTTTTGAAATTGTCCCAAGTTGGAAAAAAAATTTACTCTTAAAAACAGCATTTGTTTGCTTATGAAACTTAAAACCAGTCAGGAATGACACCTGGATTTTTGGCATTAGGCCTAACATATGGAGACGGAGAACGCAGATTTCCCATAATGCTTTTAGTCTGTTACAGGGGGCCATTTCTGTCAGAGAGCTGAGTGCTGCACCAAGGCCACAGGCTCTGCTAAATGCCTTGGTTACTTGCATATATTAAAATTGTCCTTCACAGCTTTCGGTTTCCTCAGAGTCAGGGAGGTGTGGAGAAGCACGGAGCTCCACTTGGCAAGGAGGTGCTCTGCTCCCATTAGTGTCCGAGCCGTGCGGGGGTGAAGGGCGGCCGCACTCCTCTGTAAAGTGTCTTTTAAGCGAGCCACTTTTTAAGTGGACGTTTAAGACATCAGTGATCGGAAAGTAGCAGAGTAGCGTGAGATTGCCATGCGGACCGTGAAGGAGGAGACGCTCTGGTACAGTGCTGTCTTCCCCTGACCTACGTGCGGGTCGCTGGCCTTCCCTCACGCCTCGCTGAATAAAGTCACGTAAGTGACACTCCCAAATGCCCTGACCTCGCTCTGAAACCTGGAGGCGTGTGTCTGTGTTTTGTTTGGCCCACAAAAACCTGGGGGGCTCATGGGAGTTTTACTTTCACAAAAATGTTCTGAGGGCAGAAGGAAAGATGATTGGCTCAGAGAGATAACCAATGAGAGGAATAGAGGAGGTGGGACCAACCTATCAGATGTCTTGGTCCTACCTCCTCTAGTTGCTTGGACCCACCTTCTCTACAATCTAATTGATTATCTCTCTGAATCAGTCATTTTTCCTTCTGCCCTCAGAACATTTTTTATGTAAGCAAAACTCCCACAAGCCCCTGGCAGTTAGATTGTGAGCTTTGCTGTGATGCTCATCACTCTTTTTCATTTCCGCCAGAATATCAGTATAATGCGCTCAGTTACACGAACACTGCAAAGCCTGCAGTTGTCCCAGAAGCCTTTAGGTAACAGATACTGTGAAGGTTATAAGCCAGAATGCTGATTATTAAGCGATTTACAGATCTGAAGAAAGCGTGGTGTCTCACTTATTTATTT